TATTATTTTTTGTAATTTATTTAATTTATTGTTTTTGTTTGCATAAAATAAAATCCGGCTTCTTAAATATTATAATTTAATATTATAGAAAATTGTTTAGCAAATGTTGCTGCCAATTTTAATAGAGATCAAATCTGTTTTTTATTTTTTTTTTATTTTTAATTTTTTTTTTTTTTATTTGTTATGCATTAGCAATTAAATATTTATTACTTGCTTATTCATATATATTTCAAAGAGTTTCAGTTTAATAAAATGTTCASAAATTATGTTCATTGATCTGGCTGTTGAAAACAATTCCGAGTCAAATTTTCAAGTTCGGTTCGTAATCAGCTTAAAGCTGGCGCTTGAAGGAGTTCTGAAAGCAACCCTTTTATGTCCTTGTGAAATCCAACGCACTTTGAAAAAGAAAGTCAAAAAGGAATGAGCGAAAAAAGAAACTCCATTAAAAACTCAGAGCTGGACGACAGTTGCTGGCTACTGAAACTGCTTTTGACTTGAGGTCATTTTCAATCACTTTTTCCATTTTGTGTCACAGGGCAGCCAGAAAACAACACGAAAAAAAAAAAGACAGAGGCAGAGAGAGAGAGAGAGAGAGAATGAATGAGAGAGAGTAAAAAACGTAAAGTTTTTGAATGTCTGTGTGACTTTTTCACAGAGCTCTCACTGATAAGGGGCCGTGGTCAGTGGGCAGCAGCAGGAGCAGCAGCAGGAGCAGCAGCAGGAGCGGCAGCAGGAGCAGCTGTAGTAGCAGGAGACAGAAGTTGAGAGAGCAAGTGCAGGTTGCGGTTTGGTGTGTGCGACCGTCGTTGGCTTTTTATTCGTTTCTCGTTTTTTTTTTTTCTGCGCCATGCAGTTCATTTGCCGTGCAGGATGAGTGGGCGTTTGAGTGAATGGATGGATGGCTGCATGGATGGTCAGCTCTCATAATGGCCGCAGGAAATTAAGTTGAAATTGTGCCTAAGGGTCGGAGAGCAATCATCGTGTAGTTGCCAGCGCACCAGCAGACGCTGCGTCAAATTAATTACATTTTGTTGGATTATGCGAAAGTGGGCATAGTTCTTTAGTTTTATAGAGTTTCAAGTGCAGTAGTGGAATGCAACAAAAACAAAAACAAACTTCAATTGATAGCGGTCACCTACTCGGCATGTATTGCTTCCTTTTTCAAGGTAATAACAAAAGGATATAAGTAGACATTTCTAGAGAAATGATCATATTCTCTTATATGATTTACAAAGAATCTGCCTTGATTTTACAGAACCAGCTTGAGCATGTTGAAGTCCATACGAAAAATATTTAACTTGAGTTATGCTGACTTGTGAATTAAATCATTTCGAACTTAAAAATTTTTCTGCACCCCTGTAAGTTATCGATAGGTGGCAGCCCTGGTCTCAAGCTTCGATATGTCGATCAGTCAGTCGTAGAAAGAGCCAAAGAGCGCCAGCAAAACACATAAAAATAAATTTGCTCAATTAGTTTCGTTATATTTAAATATATCTAGTGACAAATGTAAAAACTAAAGAGAACGACTTAAACTTTTTCTATTTTCGTGATGTAATAAGATGAAATTATATACTTGCTAGAGTAGCAGCATGACTAAATAATGTCAGCATCAAATTGTGTTGGAATGTTGCATTTATATGATTGATGATAAAAAAAAATAAATAAAAAAAATGTTAATT